GTGATCTCAATTATACATGTGAAATCATGCAAAACACATTTCCACATTAGCCATCTAGCAATAAAAAAAAAAGGCAACAAAATTAAAGTGAAAAAAATTATGCTTCAATCTGTACTCAGGCCCTCTCACTTCTCTCTCTGGAGGTGAATAGCACTTTTCATCACAAGTCCTTAGCACATTTTAGCTTGGGGTTACTTAGGTAGAGAGCACTGGATTGGGGTCAAAGGATGTGATCAAATTCTGTCTCTATTATTTACTGTGTGGTCTTTTAAGCAAGTTACAGCTCCTTAGTTTCCTAATCTGAAAAATGGAGGGGGGAGGGTGTTTCAATGAGATGACTGACCTTTTAGGTTCCTTTCACCTACAAATCAGTGATCCTATGATGTTCTTTGGGCCTCTCTCCTCATGTACAAAATGAGGGGGTTGAACCTCTCACTTTGAATTCTAGGATCCTATGACCTTCTTTACCATCTAATAAACTTCTTGAAGACCTGAATGGTTTCTTGTTTCTATTTATACCCTCCACAGATCCCCAGATAATACCAAGATGCAATAATTTATTTGTTGCATAAGTGGACTTTGTGTTCCCATGGGCCCCAATTAATTACAGGTTTACCTTCATTACAGAAAAATGATACAGTGGGGGGTGGGGGGAATGCTAGGTTGGGAGGCAAGAGGCTGGATTTAAATCCTGACTTTGACACATTAACTGTGACCTCAGACAAAAGGTAACCTCTGGGGGAAAAAATTAAACAATTTTTAAGAGGTTTTACATGACTATACATGTATAATCTAAATCAAATTCTTTGCCTTCTCAAGGGAAGGGAGGGAGAGAGGGAAGGAGAGAATTTGGAACTCAAAATTTAAATTATTTTTTAAAGACCAAATGTTAAAAATTGCTTTCATATGTAATTGAAGAAAAATTGGAATATTAAAAAAAAACCCAAGAGGCAACTTTTGAACCATTGTTTCTCATCCATAAAATAAGAGTGGGGGCAGGAACTAGATGAACTCCAAGTTCCATTCCAGCTGTCACTGCATGAAACTCTGACCCTTCCTGGATCCTACCTTAAAACAGCCACTACAGCGGTGTAATATAAGCTAGAATTTATATTAAGCTTTAAGCCTGGGGTGGGGAACCTGTGGTCTCGAGGTTCTCTGCTTTAAACTTTGCAGTCTTTTACTTACATTCTCATTCAAATATTTCAACTGGCCAGTAAGTTAAGTACTGCAGCTACTATTACATTCATTTTAAAGATTAGGAAGCTGAGGGTCACAAAGCTGACAAGTATCAGAGGCAAAAGGACTTGAATCCACATGTAGGACTTTAGCCACTACCCTTTAGTATTGTGCGCTGTCTTCGTTGGTCCCCAAAGAGCCATGAACATAACAAGTGTCCTCATAATTTCACCCTCTACTGCCTACCCGTGGGAAATAGCTGTGCTGCAGTGGTTGGAGTACTGGATTTGAGATGGAGGGCCTGGCTTTACCACTTCCTGTTTATGACCTTGGACAAATCACTTCTCTGAGCCTTAATTTCCTCCTGAACAAAATGAGCAAGTTGAACCAGGTGATATGTAAGGTCTCTCATAAATAACTCTAAATCTATGACCCAGTGATCCTTCCTCAAATTAGAAACTAAGATATTGCCTTGTGATGGAGGGAAAATAAATGTACAAGAGCATGAAAGGGCATTTTATCTCAAGTTCGGAAAAGATAGAAAAACACCACTGTGAAACAAATTCCTATTAAAAAAAGATAAGTACATTGACTGCCGAGTTTTATCGGTTACTCTAAGAGTCTTAACCATCTCTCCTACTAAAAGAAATGATCCACAATAACCCTTTAAAAAAATGCTGATAGTTGAAAAAAGTCACATATTAATAGATTACACATAGAGAAATGTCAGGCCAGCTATTCTAAAGGCAGACCTGCTTAACACATCAATAAGAAAGTCTATCCAGCTAGCATCTGTACAGGAAGAGAGAAATGCTGTTTCATTAGATGCTCTGTTATATATATTTATCAGTCTAAGAGGTGGCCCCTCTAAGACTGGACATGGACAAGAGGTGATAGAAAGGGAGGATCCATATCAATGAGATCAGAGATATAGAGCTAAAGCATCTAGGCTAATCCCTCATTTTGCAAATGAGGAAACTGAGGCTTAGAGAGGGTAAGTGACTTGTCCAAGCTCACAGAGGTAGTAAGCAATAAAATAGGAATTTGAATCCAGGTCTTTTTGACTCCAAATACAATGCTTAACCCATATAAGTATTAAAAAGAAAGAAGTTATTGTAAACATTTAACCTCAACTGTACTTTCAAATGTAAGTCAACTCCATAAAACTGAAGGGGAGGGGGAACTGTAGCAACGAGTCTTTGGAGAATGGAAGATCCCATTTTAGGGGATAGGGTGGTATACAGGAGTCATAAAGTTACTCAATAGTTTGTCTTCTATAATCTATAGGAAGAGAATATTAGTCAATACCATGCCTCCCAACCCCCCCCCCAAAGTCACGGCCCCCGTAGAGCTTTTTAATGTACAGAAGTAAAGCACACAAAACAAAAAGGCCAATTAATACTGTGGGTGGGTATGATAATATTATAGAATGATTTAAGGTTATCAAAACATTTTGAATAATTATCTTGCTTGATATACAGCAGATATGTGTGCATATCATAATAGACTTGCTCATGTACACAAGCATTACCTGGGCAATTGACCCATCTCCAGAGAGTTTAAAGCCTAGAAGGTTCTAACTGTCCTATATATCAGTACAGGCTTGCCTAAGACCCATGCAGCTTCTGTGATTAAGTTATTCTAGTATGCAATCTTAACACAACACCATCTCCACCTTTAAGCTGATTTTTAGACTATTAGGAAGACAGCCAAGGTCAGAATCTTGGGGGGTGGGGATGGAGAGAGGGAAGAGGGTTAAATACAACATAGCTTTACAATTCTAATGTTTCTAAGATGAAGATGTCCTAATGTGGATTTCAGTCCTCAGAATTAAGATCACAGTTGCCTTTGAAAAGTAAAATTTAATTTTTTAATATTGAAATATTAGGCCTCTTACTTTAGTGATATTTTGCTGGTTTTTTTTTTTAAAGATTCTTATTCATTTTCATTCCAGCAGTGCAAGAACTCACCATTTCATCACAATTACTATATGTGAATATGTGTACACATATGTACATATATACATAAGTGCTGTACATATTGTACACAGGTGTATAAAATTTTAGTGGCACATGGCTCTAAAATCCCAAAATTGGTTTTTATTGGTAGCCGTAGGGTAGTACTGAAAGGAACACCAGAAGACCCGAGTTTTAAATGGGTTTTGTTACAGATTTATCAGAGCAAAACACAGTTCATCTGGGCCCAATTTCCTCATATTTATAATGTGCTACACCAATACGGACTGCTCACATCGGACATGAATAGTGAAGACTTTAGATCTGTAGTGTTTCTGGAAAAAGTTCTGGCACTTACAAAACCACATGTTTTTTGAGAGGTATGGAAAGTTACAATACAAGTCCAATATAAAACAGTATTTTTATGATCAGGTTGGGCTAAGTTTTAGAAAACTTCTAATCCATCTAATCTCTTCTAAAGGTCTCTGGTGAGCCACAATAGTTTAAAAAGAAAGAAAAGAAATTCAAGAATTATCTAGTCTTAAACATTGACGCTCTCCTGACTGATTTATTCTTAGAATTGTTTATATTGACACCAAAGACTTCACTAACATATGAATATTATTTCCCCCTTAGTGCAGACTTAAAAAATACCGTGAAATAATTTCCCCTAAGTATGAGTGGGTTATACGAACAGGCCCAGTAAAATCGTGGTGTTTAAAGACTATTTGCTAATTCTCGACATTGTAAAAGTTCTAAAAGCTTCCATCAGAAAGTACTGAATTGAATGATTTTTTTTAATGGCAAAAGGGGAGTGGGGAGGAGCCAACAAATGGAAGAAATTGAATGACCAGAGAGAGCGAGAGCGCTATTGAGCTTGGGAGGAGGAAGCTGCCAGTTATGCCCTGTGATATCCCGGACAACCAAAGGTATGCAATTCAGAAAGTTGTCACCCAGCAGCCGCTGCAGTAGCAGCACTGGCGGTCGGGGTCCGGCGCACGTGTCCAGAGGGGGCAATGGCTCAGTGCTGGGAGGGGAGGCCGACAGGTTGAGCTGAGTTTCCGCTGGTGTTCTGGGTAAAGCAGAGGGAAGGTGAGGAGAAACGAGAGGTCCTGGGCCCGGCTCGCCCCTCGGGCAGCAATGACCCGCTCTGCGCTTCCGCGCGCTCCTCCAAGACCCAGCTGCCCTCCTCCTCCCACTCCTCCAGCAGCTGCTGCTGCTGCTGCTTCCCCCGCAGTGCTTCCGAATCTCTCCGGGGGGAGCGGTGGCGGCGGCGGCGGCCACGTGCCGGCTCCTACATCTTGCATCACAGCGGAGCCCAAGAGCCTCGGGGTGCCCAGCAGGAGGGAGAGCCGGACGGGGCAGGCTCAGGCACTGGCGAGGTGCGGGACAAAACAGCTTCCCAGATGGAGCTGGGGAAAGAGGCGCTCGCTAGGGCTGCTAACTCCTGCCTCCCTTCCCCCTCCCAAAAATCACAGGGAGGAGGGGGGGGAAGAGGGAGAGGTGGCAGCCAGTCGCAGGTTTCGCAACTCTGAAGGCACGAGAAGGCGGCCGACCAGCCAGGCTATAGGGTAGAGGAGGGGTGCCCCTTGTCGGTTCTCCTCTCTGTCAGCCTGTGGGCTGTCTGGGGTCCCCCGCGTCCCCGGACAGGGCAGTGCCCAGTGCCGGCTCCTAAATGCAAGGCGGCCGCAGTTCGCTCTTTCTACCTGCTTTAGTTGAACAGGCCAGTTCAGCCCCGGGCTGGTGGCGGGGAGGTGGAGATGGAAAAAACTCTTGTATGACCTGGGGTCTCCGAGTTCCCCACTTCGTCCTTCCCACCCCGTGCCCGATCCCCCACCCCCACCAGCCCCGGAAAAACACTGGTACCTTCCACCGCCTCCTCCACCATCTCGTCGTCGCTATCCATGGCGGCGGAGAGCGCAGCCCAGCCCACCACAGGCTCTCCCCCGGGCTGGGGGTCGGGGGCCGGGGACTGAGAGCGGCCGCGCGGCTGCTGCTGCTGCTTGTCTTCTTCCCTTCTCCTCTTTTTCCTACTGCTCCTTAGGGAGCCCGGAGCCGCGGCGGCTGCTCAGCGAGAGCTTGGGTTCAGCCCAGCGAGTTTGGAGGAGGAGGAGGAGGAAGAGGAGGAGCAGTTGGCCGGCCGTCCCCTTCCAGTCTTTTTCCCAATGTCTTTTCCTTCTTTCGCAGCTATGGGCTCCTCCAAGGGCAGCTCAGCCCTCTGCATCCACTTTCCCTTGACCGCTGCCGAGCTCCGGGAGTCTCGCTGTAGCCGCCCTCGGTGCTGCTGCAACTTTGTCCTGTAAATATCCCCTTCTTTGTTAACGAGCAGCTGATCCGCTGACATCACCCGGTGCTGGTGCGCTCGCTCCCTCGCTGATTGACAGCTCCCTGTCCCTTCCCAGAAGTCTGGTCCCTCTCGCAGCGAGAGGCAGCTCCACTCCCCTCTTACTTGCTTCCATCTCCCAGTTAAATCCTGTCCCGTCATCATCAGGCTTGCTCTTTTGCTGAGCAGTTCACAGTGCAATAGGTTAGAAGCAATTCCTGCCCTCAAAGAGCTTACAGTCTCAGGGAGATGGATCCTGGACGCCACACTAAGAGAGATGTGTGCCAGACCGGGTTGGTGTGTGTTTCTATGTGTGTGTGTGTGTAGGACAGGATGGCGAGTTTCTGGATGAACCCCGAGCAGGAGATAGAAAGGAAGCATTAGTCAAGAGCCTCATTTCCTCCTTCCCTCGATGCCCACCTCCTCCAGTTCCAAAGCGATTGCCACTAGGAGTCTGCACCAGGGCGCAGATGTTCACGCTGTGAGACAGCATCAGGACTGGCCTCTAGGGTCCTGGCACGAGGGTATTGTAATTCAGACCCAATTCAACCCATCCACGGTAGCCCCGCCCTTCCCCTCTCTTTACCTCCCCCCTCCCATAGCAACGCAGGCCTTCATCAAATCCTAAAGGCATTTCTGCACCCTGGTGAAGCAATGAAACAAACAGCATTCCCTAATGGGGTTTCTCCTCGTGGCTACTGATAGTGAAAAAAGCACAATGGAGCAGAGCTAATAAGGACCCCTCTATCTACCTTCTCTTCCCCTCTCTCTCACCCTAATAGCCATTTCCTATTTACTGCATATTGGAGGTCACTGAATTCTGAACCTTCATAAAGAAGAGAATGCTATCCATTTCCTATCCAACAGCTCCCGAACCATTATTAGGGCACTTCCTATTGCAGGTGGCGGTAAACAGTGCTGTAAATAGCTGGCTAAATAGATGCAAATTTATACAATGCATGGTGCTGCCTCTTGGAATTACAGGGTGCCACTTTAGCCCGAGGGTCTTTCGGGCATGAGTACTGGGGACGGAAGAGCAGTCTTTCTGTTTCATTCTCTGAAAGATAAATAACTCGCACAAACTTAAAAGTACAAGGAGAATCCCGTCAGGGAAGGCCTTTGCTTTCTACATTGGTGTGTCATTTTTTGCCCAATTATGTGTTTCTTAAACACGCTTTCTTCTTACAGAAGATTAACAAAAGCCCAGTGCTATCAGGTAAGGGGGTCCCACTCTCTGGCTAAGGTTTTTAATTTTCTTTAGCTTCTGTAAGAAGCAGCTTATGGGAGCCAGAAAGGTACCATAGAGTATGTATTTCTTCAAGAAGTGTTGATTCAAACAATGAGCTTTGAGGAATTATCTCATTAAAAAAAATACAATCACCAACTATACAGGACATGGCTTGAGTCTTAGTGCAGTTTTAAGCTTTAGTGCCTCAATTTCCTCAACTGTGAATGAAAATAATAATAGCACCTCCCTCCCAGGGTTATTGTTAGGATCACATTGTAAAGTGTCTTACACATAGTAGGTGCTTAACAGGTGTTTCCTAAGCTTTAGTGATTTAAAACTGCTCTAAGACTTTTGAAAACACTCTATATTTCGAAGGAAGCGATTTTGTCCAACAAAAGTGTTTTCTCTGGTGTCCTCCAACTCCGTATAATCTTCCTGGATGCTCCATGTAATTCCCCTTTCTGGATGCTTCATTCTATTTAAACTGTCTTGTATACAACATTCTATCCCCTGATTTCATGCCTGTGCACAAGGAAGTTGTCCTTGTGTCAGTAAAGCAATCCGTCCTCCCCCTGTCCTCTCATAAAATCTCTAGCTTTTTTTCCAAATACGATTCATTTGCTTCCTCCTCTCAAAGACCTTTCCTGATCATCCTAATTATTAGTATGCTTTCTCTTTTGAAGTTACTTTCTCCCTACTTTTTTGTGTACATATTCTATATCCTCCCTCCCCAGGAGAATGTAAACTTTTAGAAGGTAAGGACTGTTTCTTTTTTGTCTTTGATTCCCAGAATGGGAAAGTGCTTTGGAATTAGCAGGTGTTTAATAAATGCTTGTTCAATTTAAATAGAAATGCAAATAGAAAAGAGATTCCTAGTTGCTGGTCAAGTTCTATAGCTGTTCCTGCTAGTAGGTTTACCTAGATCACTACTGGATCTCCTTAGTGAGTGAGGTCCATAGCTACTCAAAAGAGATCAGTTTAGTAATCCACACAGGAAAAACAGGATGAGTAAAGGGTGTGTGCCTTGAGTACATTATGACATACAATTAGATAGGCAATGCATCGAGTCAACTCATCAGTAGATTCTTTCAAAAAGGGGTTGCAATTGGATGATTAGGAGGAGGAAGAAGGTTCAGATCACATTTTGGGCATTGCTTGGTACTTTCAAGGATTACAAGTTGTTACCTACGATAAAAGCCCAACTTTCTTTACACCAACATTTTTCTGGTCCTATTATATAGCTGCAAATAATGGAATAACACAATCTCAAAATAACTTTGGTTGCAGATGAACTAAAGGACAGTAGGAAGATTTGGGCAGACGTAAACTGGAGCACACTGCATTACTAATGAGTGCGGCATAAGAAGTGGTACTTTGTGATCAAGGGGTGAGCACAAGGTAGATGCTCAATAAAGAAGGAAACATTTATTGAGCATCTACAATGTGTCAGGTGCTTTGCAAATATAATTTCATTTGATCCTCACAATATCTCTGGGAGGGAGACACTATTATTATTCTCATTTTAGAGTTAAGGAAATTGAGACAGGTAATAATTAAGTGACTTGCCCAGGGTCACACAGATAGTAAGTGTCTGGGAATGGATTTGGACTCAGATCTTTAGGACAAGCACTCAATCCACTGTACCACCTACATACTTCTTGACTGACTGAAGAAATATCATATGTAAGACCCAAAAAGGAGGTAGGGCAATTATTAGCAGAAGTCAAGGATGATAGATGAACAAACCAAGTGCTGAGCTGGTCTCCACAGAATATTAAAAGAACCAAAGGCTTCAGTGAATTGGTTAGATTCTCTATGAAGGATTTGTGCAAAAACATGGACAAGAAATATAAGAAGATATGGATGCATTGCAACTTGTCCTTGTGGGGTGAATACCCTCACTGATGAGATTACAGATTCATCTAAAGATATAAGTATTTCTATATGAGATTATAATGAGAGGCTCATGACTTGATTCACCTTGTTATGATGGACTTTACAGCAACTGCAACTCACAAAGTCTTTGTTAAGACATAATTGATTTATAAGCCTTCATAGTGGATGAAATCATATAATCATATAATTTTGAAATGTAATGTTTTCCCTCATATTTGACTCCCAACTCTGTGAACCAGTTTTTATAAATCTTTTCTCTTTGCAGAGGCAGATGGAAATCTAACCCCTTGCCGTTTGCCTGTTCATTTCCAAAGGCAAAGAGAATTTAGGAGGATCAAATTTGACCTGTATCATCACTTGTAACTATGCTACCTCCATGAGTCTAAACTCAGAAATGTCTTTCTCCTCTCTAATCATAATCTACTGTCCTTTCCTACTTCCATCTGCTTTCCTTTTCCTTTGTCCTCACAACTTTCAAGCCCTACATCCATCTCTGTTCTATCAACCACTCCTTCTCTGACCTCTCCTTCCTTCACAGTTTTAACCACAGAGTTAACTAATTCACCTTTACATCATCATCCACACTTGACAGTATTGTTCATGTGTTCTTTTTCTATTCACGCCCTGGCTTACTCTCACCATTCACCTTGTTTGCTTTTACTTCTGCATCACTGAACACTACTGGAGTCAATCCCACTATTACTCTGACCAGATCCATTGTAAATTCATGATGCAATTGAGCCCTCTCTGCTATGTGGTAATTCTTTTATTACTAAGTAACTTTTAAGGTAGGGCCTGGATCCTCACCTGACTCTCTAGATACTTTTGTTGTGGGTAGCATGTTAAATTTTGGAGAATCATCTGAGATTTTAAAAATCTTTTTCCTTTTTGTCCTGAGACAGACCTTCGTGGGCTGCCAGGTGGTGCGGTGGAGAGAGCACTGGGCCTGAAGACTCATTTTCCTGAGTTCAAATCTGGCCTCAAATTCTTGCTGGCTGTATGACCTTGGCCAAGTCACTTAACCCTGTTTGCCTCCATTCCTTATTTGTAAAATGAGCTGGAGAAGGAAATGGCAAACTATTCCAGCATCTTTGCCAAGAAAACCCCAAATGGGTTCATGAAGAGTCTGACATAACTGAACAACAACAACAAAAGTAGACCTCCATGGGTATGGGCTGTCTGTTTCAGCACGATTCAATATAGACAAACACTAAAACAGATATAAACTTTGAGGTGTACTAAAGAAGTCATGTGCTAAGCGTGTTTTAGTACCAAATCAGGAATAAACTGGGGTGGGGTGGGGGTGGGGCACTGTCATATGCTGGGGGTGAGTGGCTGCAGTGGCTGCCAAATAATTGGAAAAATTCTGCACAATGATGACTCTAGTCTTTCACCAAGAGCTACTAATTTGGGTATGCTTATAGGCTGTGATGACAGTACCACTGAGGTAGGTGACAATTGTTTGCTGACTCAGAACAGTATGCTGCATTTGAGGCATGATGGCACACAAATAATAATATATTGCTTTCACCTACTATATGTAGTGGGTTCATCCTCCAAAGCTTGAATGGAGTCCTTTTCTTTTCTTTGTTAATATCATCACTCTTGGGATAACTAGGTGGTGCAGTGGATAGAGCACTGGCCCTAGAGTCAGGGCGACCTGAGTTCAAATCCAGCTTCAGACACACAACACTTACTAGCTGTGTGACTCTGGGCAAGTCACTTAACCCCTCACAAAAAAAGAAATCATCACTCTTATGTCTAGAATGCGCTCCTTTCTCACTTCTGTCTCATTGAGCTCCTACTGTTCCTCCAAAGAAGCCTCCTAAACAAGGCCTTTCCTGATTTCTCCTATTACTAGCATTATCTTCCTTTTGAAATACTTCGTATTATTTGTAT